GCCAGGTATTACATTCAACATGGGGGAGGGGGAAAGCCGGGAGCGAATACACCCAATAATCGTTGACATGAAGCCAACTTTTTTCAATACTCGGTAACAAAGGAATATCTGTATAAGACCACTAGGGACGAGAGACGGTTAATACAAAGGGAAAGGTAAGCGGGTCCTATACTATGTATGTCAGAGACCGGCGCTGTCAAGGTCTCAACCACCACAAAGAAACAGACTTCCAGAAAACCAACGGCCGACGGGGATGGTGGAGTTTAGCATCCCCGGGCCCTAAAATCTGGCAGTGCCCCAGACTTTCCCTGTCAGCGCCCCTTTCCAAAGGAACGGACTTCCCAAAGGATTTCCCTCTTCCCTCCCCACCCTTCTAGTAAATAATGCCAGCAGCGCAAAGTGCACCTCCCGGGGGACCCGAGACACCCGGGCCGAACGCAAATACGCCCAAAATAGAGCCCTTTCTGGGAAAGCGCGGTTTCCAGAACCTTCTCAACACCCCTCCTGCTTCTCCTCGGGGCTTTTACTTTAAACCAGAGAAGATGGAAAAAGGAAGGGCCGAAAAGAACAGGCAGGGCCCCTCCCTAGAGCCCGACGCCAGCTGCCCCAGGTGCGCCAGGTGCGCCCCCGGAGGCGTGGGGGCAGGGGCAGGTGGGCTCTGGAGGGCCCCGCACCGCTCCGTGGGCCCGACTGGGGCGGAGGCGCCTCTGGGTGGGGAGGGGGGTGGGCAATGGGTGGGTCCCTTACGGTCTCCCTCAGCTTCCTCTCGTAGTCCAGCTCGCGCTGCAGGCTGCCCGCGCGCTCCTCCGCGGCGTCCGCCTGCTCCTGCAGGCTCCGGATCTTCCTCCGCACCGCCTCCAGCGAGCTGCTCCCGGCCATCGCGCGGGGCGGCGGCCGGCTGGCGGGCGGACTGCGGTGGGAGAGACCGGCTGCTGCGCTCCGGCCGCCGCTGCCGCAGCCGCACTCCTGAGCGCCCCGCCGCCCCGCCCAGGCCGCGCGGCGAAACGGCGGCGCCCCCAGCGGCCCAGGACCAGCCCGGAAGTGGCGGTCTCCCAGGAGGCGCAGGCGAACCGCAGGCGGGTGCGCGAGCGCCGGGGGCGGGCACAGAGGGCGGGGCGGGGCGCGCGCCGCAGACCCCGGGAATAGGCAACCCGCGGGAGACACTGCGCATGCTCGCGGCACCAGGGCTGGCGGAGGTGGTGGGCGCGCAGAGGGACACCTGGAGAGCGGTGCCGCGCCGGGAGGTAGGCCAGCGCTCCAGGGATTTACTGCGACTCCTAGCGCCCCTTCCTGGCTCCGTGGTGAACCTGGGTAACGGACATGGCTGCTAAGGGCGATGGCGCCGCCTACTGGCGGCGAGAGTTCCCACTCGGGAGTTCTGAATTCCCAAGCCTGAGAGAGAGAAGCTGAGCCGAGGAGTTTGGCCTGAGTGTGTCCCCAAGACCGTTCCTCGTTGTTAAGAACTGCAGCACACAAGATCCTACCCACAACAACCTTCCTCTGTCACCAAACTCACGAAGTGAAAACCACTAACATACGCATTGTGATTAAACCTTTCTAAATGCAGCGTTCCGAGGTAGGTTAGAACCCGGCTCCTAGACTCTCTCCTGGCTGTTGACTTTGGCCAAATAACTTGACTCTTCTGGGCTTCATCTATAAAAGTGGGGTTAATAGTAGTACTTCCCTCATGGGGCTGTGGTGAGGATTATGAAATAATACAAAGCGCCTAGCACAATACATTGTACATAGTTCACTCAAATGACAGCTTTAGTGAATAAATGTGCAGGCACTGTCTTAAGAGTCAGGCGGGGGCCCATCACTAGCTGCTTTCTCAGGGCCGAGAGACTCTTTGGGGCTCACTTCCTTTTCCGCAAAACAATCATCTCATGGGCTCCTTGTAACTTACAGACTTCTCTGGTTTTAGATCAGCCTCAGAGATCAGGAATCTGACCAATTCTGGGCTGGACTGAGATGCCTTTAAAAGGCACAGCCATGAAGGGTACAGAACCCTATGAGAGCTTCTGGCTACAGCGGGATGAAAACCCAATCGCTGGGAACCGTCCTCTGCCAATTCTCCCACTGGGCTGCGTTTTTAAATGCCTTCCAAGTCTCATATGGCTTTCTTCCTCACCTTTCTCCTGGGAGGTCCTTCAAGTCAATTCCTGATGTATTTAAGTGTGGGAATAATGAAGAACAAAAACATACTTGACAATTCCCTCCTCCTCCTCCAAAACCCTAACAAGGAACCTCCTTTGCTTTCCCGATTCCTTTTCTATGGACTTTGTCACAGTCTCCGCGGAGACTCACAAACCTCAGCATGTGCCCTCACGTCCTGTAGGTGGAGCCCCTCGCTTTGCGTCCGCACAGTTCATCTGGTCAGGCGGGAGGTTACAACTCCTCCCCCAGAAAAGTCCAGACAGTGGGCCTTCAACTTTGAAGGTGGAGGAAGGGGGTGCCAGGGAAACTCCTGGACACTTGCAAGTACTCTAAAGCAGCCAACTAATGACTTAATGTCCTGCTTTTCAAACACCTGGGAAAGACAGTTTCAGGTGAGTTCATTTTCATGCTGATGTCATTAGACAAGAGTTTAGGACAGTTCTCGACCTTGGCTGCACATTTAAAAAAAACTAATGCGTGGGTTCCACTCCCAGAGATTCTGATTTAATTGGCCTGGGGTGCAGTCTGCATATGGGGTTTTAAAACCTTCCTAGGAGACCTGTTTACATAAGGTTGAGAATCACTGATTTAGGAAGCGAAGACTTACAAGGAATAAAGACTCAAATACTGCAAATATCAGACACACCACAATTATTGCGGAAATGGTTGGGGGCCAAGGAGAAAATGGAGCCCTTGATCCCATCCAGCCTCACTTAGGTGGAACACCAAACATTTCAAAAGAAAACCATTAGGATGCTTGCTACCTTGTGATTTACCATCTTTTAAGCTAGGAAGACCCTTCTTTTGGAATAAAATTGTAAAGAATGTTGGTAAATAAGTAGAAAAAGGTTCTCAGTGTAGTATGATACTACCACAGGAAGGTGACCTCCAAGCTCCCTCTTTCTCTAGTGGTATCAGTCTCTTCCTCCTTAACTATTGATTATTGTTATTCATTAGGAATCACTTTAAATATAGCATTTCTTTGCAAATGTTCTTCTTCAACATCCCTACACATTCCAAACAGCCTACAATGTCTTGAAAGTTTAGATGATCAATCTACTACAGAAAAAAAAAAAAAAAAGAAAGAAGGAAAAAAGATAAGTACCATATTAGGGCCAGTTTTCCTGTATGAAGCCAAAACACAGTTTCAAAAAGCTCCCTCCCCTGCTAACCCCGCCTCCACCAAGGTGGCTTTAAATATCCCCATCCACTTCTGCTCCACCTCATTCCAAAGCTCCCTTAAACAAGACTTTTCAATAAAGACATGATAGCACTACATAGTTACAATAATTATGATCTTTTTTTCCCTTTAAGAATTGTAGCTTTTTCCTTCTTCAGTCTTACTGGGCTATTTTCAAATTCTCTGCATTCTTTTCCTTATAAGGAATATCTCTCCTTGATCTATCAGCGGCTCTTTTGAAAAAGCTAAATAAACGTCCTGCTGGAGAATTTGGGGGAGACAGATCTCCTCCATTTAGCCTTACACGGAGCAGACATCTGATCTACATTATACAAAGCAGACACAGAGTTTGTATGTGTTTTTTGGCTCTTTTTCTAAAGCCAGGTAGTTTGTAACTTTAATGTTTTAGCTAAGTCAGTGCTTCTGTGAACCCCTTTTCCAGTAATCTTGATGTCCATTGAAACCCCTCCCCTTATTTTATTTTATTATTATTTTTTTTTTTGTCGATTCTAAATATCCTATGTCTGGATTTCCCATTTGCAAGGCACACTTGGAGACTGATTACATTTTAAGCCTTTCATGCCACAAAAAGCCTTGACTGGTTTCAAGACCCAAGACCCTCCAGCAATTTGCATTTTACTCTCATACAAAAAATTCTGCCATTGTGCTTGGTAGTTCAACTTCTGGGCACAGCTTTCCTCGGTGCTCATACATTCTTGGAATTGTTACTAACTTCCCAAGGAATTCTTTCCTAATTGGGCCTCTAGCCTTAATGAGCTTCTACAATGGAATCCAACAGTGTGAAAAGAAGTCGTTCCTTTGGAAATCTAATGCTTGGCTTGACTTATGGAGCAGAAGAGACAAGCTCTTCAGCTAAAAAGATTCCAAAGGGCAGTGGACAAAGTGCTGGTGGAGTTTTTGCAGTGTGTGCATCACCCCTGAAACTATGTGGTGGTTGTCAGAAGGCTGACAGGTGGGGGTGGGGCAAGGAGGAGGGGCAGGGGGCAGTTAGCTCACTATACCATATAAAGCACTGAGCTATATATAACTCCCAGGGTACTTTCAGGATCTAGTGCTGTCAGACTGCAGACCCAAGCAAGTATCATCTTCCCAGGCAGATCTTAAGGGCTGGATTAAGGCTTCCCTAGTGAGCAAGGAGGCCTCAAGTGTCTCTGCACCCCAACATCAAGCTCAGCCTTCTAAGTAAAAGTAGCACCATGTCATTCCTTCAATTTAGAGACCAGGCTCTCTGTATCCTGACTAGAGTCACCACTGAAAACCCAGCATTCCCACCCACCAGCTGAGGCAAAGGAAACAAAGTAAACTAGGCGTTTAGTTTGCACAAACCTTGGTGATGACACCGCAGAGGTTTTCTGCCACCAGGGAGGCAAGGAGCCACTCCACTCCCAGCTTCTTGCCCACCCACCTCCACCCCCAGGAATGGGGGAAAGGAGAGAAAGAGAGAGGAGTGGATGAAGTATAAATGAATGTGTGCAATAGAAGTCTGAGGCAGCATCCAGTGCTCTGGGCCATGTCAGGGCCGTGTGCGGGTGGGTGTCCAGCAGGAAGAGGTGACCCTCCTCCATTGCCCCTTGGCCATTGTGGTGACCTCAGAGTGGCCACTGGGCAGGAGTTGAGGGAGGTACTGTGTGCGTGCACTTACGTCAGTGGCCTTTTTCTCCGCCAGCTCCAACTTCTCCTGGGCATCTTTGAGAGCCTCGGAGTATTTGTCCAGTTCATCTTCGGTGCCCTTGAGTTTCTTTTGCAGCGACACCAGCTCATCTTCCAGCTGGGAGTTGGCCGTGGGGGATGGGGAGGGGTGGGGGGGGGGTGCAGCAGGCAGCGTGATCCCGCATGGGAGGGGTGTGGGTGCACAGAACCAGAAGGACAGGGACAGCAGGAGAGAGAGAGAGGGAAAGACAGGGAGGGAGAAAGAGAGAGACAGAGTTAGCCATTCGTGCGCCGTGCAGCGCCGCGCGCCCCGGGTACCTTGGCGGCGGCCTCATCCGCGGCCAGGAGGCTGTCCTCCGCCTTGTGCAGCTCCTCCAGCACCCGGTCCCGCTCGTCCTCCGACGCCCGCAGCAGCTTCTCCTTCGCCGCGATGTCCTCCTCCAGCTGGGGGGCGGCGGCGGGCGGGCGCGGGCGGCCGGCACGGACCGGGTGTTAGACACACAACACACGAGCGCCTGGTTGGCTGCGGCCCCTCGGCTTGGGGCGCCGCCGACTCGGGGTTCAGGGTCTCTAGGTAACCTCTTCTCTCCTGAGTATGGAGCCGCACTGTGGCCCACCCTGCACCCCCAACCTCCCACGGGACGAGACTCCTGCCGAGGTCCCAGCGCGCTCAAGCCCACACACTGGGGGTGCAGAAAAACGCCCCCAGACCCCCTGGCCTTCGGACCGTACTCTCTATTCTGTTCCATCTTTGTTCTTAGGAAGGAACTTCGTGACTCGACCCCCCCCCCATCCCCCGCCCCTTCCCCCAGCTCCGGCTCTATCCCAGTTGAAGGTTTCATTCTTCCCAGTCAAAAGTCCAGAAGAACTTCTAACACTTTCTGGACTCGATTCACCCCAACCCCCTCGGCCCCAACTCCGGTCCAACAGTGACCCCCGATCCTGAGAGTCAAGTGCCTCTAGGAGTTGAGTAGACCTCGCGGGCTCTGGGAAGCAGAGGAGGGAAATAAACGTCCCAGACAAGACCAAAGAGTTAGAATAAGCCTGAGTCTGGCTCTTCCCCTCCCCCTTCCCAGCTGCGCGTCCCCGGCCGCCCGGGAGTGTGTGCGTGTCTGGGGGGTGGCTCCCCGTGTCCTGGGGGGTGAGCGGCGGGGGAAGGGGTGCCAGGCGTTCAGGGCCCGGGGGCACCCTGTGTGTGGGGGGGTGGGGGAGTGGGGGGGCGCAGGGCCGGGGAGGCGCAGACCTGCTTGCTCCTGTCCTCCGCCGCCTTCTTATCGGCCTCCGCCTGCTCGGCTCGATCCAAGGCGTTCTCCTTGTCGAGCTTGAGCATCTGCATCTTCTTCTTGATGGCGTCCATGGTGGCGGCGGCGAGGGGCCCTGGGGCTGCGGCGGGAGCGGAGAGGCGAGTGCGCGGTGGGGCGACCGAGCCGAAGTGCGAGCGCGGAGCCGCCTGCTGCTCCCAGATATGTACTTTCCCAAGGGGGCGACCGCATTCCTAGAGACAGCCAATACTTTTTTGGAAAAGCTTTTTTCTCCTGCCCCCTCTCCCCCTCTCCTCCCTCCGCCCCCTGCCCCCGCCCCGCTCCTTCCCGCGGGGGCCGCGCGCCCATTCGCTGCCGCCTGCCGGCCTCCCAGTTGACGGTGGATATGACTATATATGGGGACCGGAGCCGCCGAGGCGGCGGCCGGGCGAGGCCGCCCTGTTCCCAAACCTGCGCGCCAGGGAGAGGGCGCCCGGGCCTCGCGGGGACCCAGCCGGGCCGAGGCCCTGACGTCTGCCCTGTGCCCTCCGCGCCCCCTCCTCCCGGAGCCCATGCCCTGCCTTCAGGGTCCCCAGCCGAGCCCGCCAGAGCCCCGGGAGGCCGGGGGAACGTGGGTCAGGTAGTGGGTGCGCGTGTCCCTGGGGAGACGCCAGACCCCGGCGCTCTCAGCATCCGGCCCGGGGTCCCTCCGAGCAGCCGCCGCGCCGGCCCCGGGCCTGCGAGTTCCCCGCACCCGCCCCGCGCCGCCCTGGCGGCCCGCGGCTTGCCAGGTGTTCTTTGGACGCTCCCTTTCTCGGAAGCTCAACTGGTGCCGGGAAAGGGAGAGTTGAGAGGGAGGCCTGGGGGCCGCTCCCGAGACCTGCCTGCTGGTCCCGGTCAGGGTGTCTGGGAATCTGTCTTCTGTGTGTACTTCTTCCCCGGGGAGGGGGCAGTCAAAGACTTTGGGGACACAGGACCCAGTTGGCTTAGTTGTGCGTGTTCCTGAGTGCGGCGCTAAGCTAAGGTCAGGGCTAGGAGGGCGTGAGTGGGTGTGTAGGTGGGTGGGTGGGAGTCTAAGGGGAAAGAACATTGAGTTCAGACTCAGGCACCTTGGTCTTGGGTCTCTATCACCAGCAGCTTTGTAACCTTGACAAGTAAGGTAGCTTCAGTGCTGCAGTTTTCTCATCGTTTTGTATCCAGGGCAGGGGAGATGATCCCTGCGGTGCCTCCAGATCTAACTTTTGTCATTATTCTTGCAGTGATTTTAGGGTGTCAGCCTCTTTCCATGTTTAGGTGCTCAGATACCAGGTTGCCAACATGTGGGCTGAGCGTCATCCCAGCGAAGTCCTCACATCTACAGCCATAGCCCTGAGGAGGGACCAGATCCAGCTCTGTCTGTATAGTAAGATTTGCTTGGAGGCGAGAGGATTTCACCTCCATCTCTTACACTCCCCAGCCGCCAAGGGGGAGAAGCCTGCCCTTTTCAGAGCTTTGGTGGTAGAGGAAGAAAGGGGGCTGCCCTAGGGCCCTGGCTGAGACTGGCTGCGGTAGAGTTGGTGAGGGTCTTGTTAACAGTCCCCACAGAGCAATTCACAACCTGTACTACATGGATACCGAATATTCCCCAGACGGTGCCTGGGCAGATTAGGCAGGCTAAACAACTTGTAAGTCCTTCAGAGAATGATCAAGTTCCTCTCCAGGATTTTATCAGGTTTCTTCCACTAGCCCAACTGCCCAGGCAGGAAAAAATACCCTGATCTAATGGTCAGGATGTTAGATCTGTGTACACAGGAGCTGCATGACACAGAAATGCACCAGAACCCTTAAATCATGGTATGTCAACCCAGCCACTGGAGCACAGAAAAGTTTAAGGCCTCTGGGCAATGTACAGATGCATGGACCACAGGGAGCTGACTCCCTACCTTGGAGCTCAGCATGGGGGGCAAGAGTCTTGAGAGTTAGGCTCTAGGATCCAAACCTGCCTCTGGCTACTTCCTTGCAGTGTGGCCTTAGCCAGGTTACAATCTCGATGAGTTTCAGTTTTCTCTTCTTAGAAAGTAGGTATAAAAACTCTCCCTTCTTAGTGTTGTTAAAAGGGTGAAGATGAAATTAAGAGCAAAAAGCATTTTTTCCCAGCACATAGCAGAGAGTTCAGTAGATAGTGGCTGCTTGGGTGGCAAATGCCAAATTGTTTCTCCTCTCTTGGCCTCAATGTTCTCATTTGTGAAACTAGGCAACTGAACTAGAGAAACTCTGGGAGAGATCATATATTACTAACTTTTCTCCACTGTGCCTAATATAGCAGAGGAACTTGTTAAAGTTTCCTTAAATGTCCAGTGCTATAGACAATTCATTAAACACACCATTGGTGAGCACCTGCTATATACTAGGCAGGCACTAAGCTCTGGGATTCCAAAATGAGTAAGACATAGCCATGCCTTCCAGGTGTTCAGCATGAGCAGACGTGTTAGAATTCAGAGGAGGAAGGCCTAGAAATGACCAGGTCATCACAGATAGAAAAACCACTTTTCTGGAAAGTGGTGGTTTCTAAACTGATTTTAGGGGAAGGACGGCAGTTAGAGAGGAGGGTACTGTAGGAGTCAAGGAAAGAAAAAGGAATGTTTGATGGTGGTTGCATAGTAGGTTTATTTGGGGGCAAATATGAGACTGGGGCATGAGACTGGAAAGATTGATGGGTGGCATAGGGGACTTGAATTTCAGGTTCACACATTCAGGTCTTCTTGTGTGGGTTGGAGCCATCTAGTTCTCTGCCCTCTCTGCCCCTCCCACCTAGGTCTATATTCAGAAGAGGAAGACAGGGGCATCCCAGTGTGGATAAAGAGCTGCATAGAGCCAATATTTTAAATTCCTTAGTGCCCCATCATTGATCCCTAGACTGATGGGCTAACATAGCAGGTCCCTGGGTTCCCTCATTTCCATTTCACTGCTGTTGAGAGTTTGCCCCATAAATAGCCTGATGGCCAGACCCCACCTAGCTTGATGGACCACACCACCTATGACCTGTCACCAAGGGCCAGGACAAGCAAACCTTATGACTTAACTCAAACAACAATTTCTTCTGTACTGGACAGGTCTTCTGGTGGCTGGCCAGGATTAAGAGAGGTGGGCTGGAGAGCCATATGCTGTAGTGTATACGCCTGCCCCCAGCTGACTGGCCATAACTCAAGAACAGATCCATAGACTAATAGGGACATAGGCTGCAGTCTGTCAGGCAAAGACGAATGGGGCCACTCAGCTTCTCTCATGCAGTTTGGATGAAGGAACATGGAAAATATGACTCATTAGCTATGGCTGCTGAAACAAAAGGGGTTTGCACTCTTGGGCTGAAGATGCCTTGTATGAGGGTGATTAAGGCTATTCATGCATATTTGGGCTTTCTCTCCCATCAGGACCTTGGTAGGATTGCACATTCCCACTCAATTAAGTTAGTTGTGGTCAATGACTTGCTTTGGCCAAGGAAGTGTGAGCAGAAGTGACATATGGTGGACATGTAAAGAACACGTCTCCTCGTGTTCCTTTTTCCAGATTGTTGCTGCTCTGTCATGCTGGGTTCCCAAATGGCCATGATAAGAGGAGCTCCCTGTCTCTCCCAGCTAACCCTTGGCGAGCAAGTAGCCAGAGTGGGACGTAAACGTTTGCTGTTGTAGGTCACGGGGATAGGGGACTGTTTTTACTGAAGCATAACTAGCTTCTCCTTACTAATATACTGCAACAGTCCATGCGTCACCTAAATTTTGAGGAAGCAGAGAAATCTGGTTCTGGAGAAGGAATGGAAGAGACCTATCAAGATAAACAGAAGCACCATTGAGAGAAAGAGACTGGGAGAATATGATCATAGTTGAGTTTCAAACATCCTTATAATAACTCCCTTTCTTTCCTGGGGTAACATGAGAGAGTCTGTGTTCTTTGAAAGTTAAAAGCTGACCAGATCATGCTGTGGTGGAAGCCTGCACAACACCTTGGTCCGCAGTTCTCTGTGAACACCAAGAATGTCTGGAATTTCAAGATTTCTCCAGTGCTTAGTATTCAGTCACTTCTCAATAAATGTTTGTTGAATGACAACTCATTGGCTACAAGCACGTAGGAGGAACAGTACTGGAAAGGAAAGATACCAAAACTAGTCTCAAAAGATTTACTTACTTTGAAAATGTGGACTCTGTGGTGTATTTTTTGAAGAATAATTGTAAGTATTGTGATAGGGTAGGACAAATATCCCTCAAACATATATTGAACACCTGTGGTATGCAAGGCATTTAACTAGAGTTTATGGGATCAAGGACAGTGGATAAGAGATGTGAATCTTTTTCTCCAGGAAAATATGTACGTTACGGATAAAACCCTCTCTCTGGGGGTCACTTAATGCGTATTTCCCACAGTGTTAACTATTATTGTCCCAGATGCTGTCTGTACCCCCCATAGCTATGAGGATCACATAGCTCAGGTTTCCTAGGAGAGCTCTAGTATTAAATATACTATCCCTTTATCCCCACAAGAGCACCCATCCTTGCCACACTACATTTGCCAATATTTGGTTAGAATAGGGAGTTAACATAAGCGAAGCTTACTAATGCGACACCTTTACAAGGAACGCTTACTTGAATACGTACGTGAGAGATTTTTTGTTTAGAAAACCAAACCCAACAAAAACCTCATTACCTGATAGTCACACCTTGTTTAACAGCAATAGCTCTACCTGGGTACGGTGACTCCCTGAGAGTCAACAGTGCTGACTCAAGCAATTAAGGGAAAGTGAAGAATCTATAATTAAACCTAGAGACAATCCTTCTTCCATTGGGTTTTGGAATGCAGTGTGTTATCATGCTCATAGCTCATTGTCTCATGGAACAAGATACAGCATGTCCTCCTCGTACACAAGGCAGTTTTCTTTCTCAAGGGCTTGTGATGCTACCACTGAGGACCCAAGGAAAATACGCTCTGCTTCCAGGAAGGGTTCAGAGCCCTGAGAAAAGTCTTCGGGCTATGTGGATGCCTTCCTCCATTGTTTAGTGTCACACGGCTGGTCCCATATTGCGGTGCAAGGCCCCTGTGCGCTTGCTACCTGGAGGGTTTGCACGGGCAAATGGTTCTCCCGGTATGAAAAAAGGCATATGGCTTCTCCTGCCTTACAAATTTCTTACAACAGCGGCAACTCCGTATAGGTTTAATCAAGCCTGACTTGAGGAATTTAGCAGCCTCAAGAATGGCAATATTCCCTATGGATGTACAGTTTTAAAAGCACTTTCA